AAAATGCTTGAATTCAAGAAGTTTTAGATTTGCGTGGTTTTTTTTTGTTGCAAAATCCACTTGAACATGACGCTGCTTTTTTCGAAGTTTCTCAACAACCATTCGAGCCAGAGAATTCGTTTTGGCATCGTTGGAAAGAGAATTGAAAACTCGATTGTCGTAACAACGTGAGTGAGGAAATTCGAGTAGTTTTGACCCAGAAAGCGAAATTGGAATATCAGACACTTAGGTGCAAGATTATGCCAAAATTCCATGTTTTCCGTCCCATTTTTGCTCATTTCTCGGAGGCAAAAATAAAAATTCGAATAGTTTTGGCCCACGACCCCCCCTGGATCCGCCCTTGCCCTAAAGGTTCTAATATGCGCTTCCGCACTATTGCCGCTGCAATTTATGCAAGGGTGGAATGGTAGTGTACTTATCACCCCATTTTAATAGCGAATTTAATGCGCCCGCTAAAAATATACCATTACAGTCACGAGCTCATGAGCTCGGGCAGCTAAATAGTTGCAAAACAATGTCGGTAGGAGTGTATGATTGCGTTGGGGACGGTGGATATTTTGCAAACAGGGGTAAAAGTTGAATACTTTCTAGGATTTGATGAGCGTTTGTTTCAATGAAGTATTTGTTCGAATTTGGGTTGTCGTTGGCGGCCAGTAACTGGGATGGGGGCATCGACATTAACACTAAAAAAGCTGAAAAAAGTTTGCTCCCACCCATTTGACGCGCGTCGCGGCGCACTACGCCCCATAAAGGCCCGTCGGCCGGATTTGCTGCAGCATTTGATCTGGGCAAAGTGTAACGCAAATGTAATTTGTTTTATTGATCTACTTTTCTTGGGTCGAGGCTCGTCTTTGCGCCCGTCCACCTTTCACCCCTGCCCCGAAAAAGGGGTAGAAATATGAGTAACGACATGTTGCCGAAGTGGGTGGGAATGTTTGGTATCGGGGTTTCTTTGTAGCTGAGTTTTTTTTATATAAACTCAATGTGAGTAAGCGCATGGTCGAAAGGGTTCTGCGATACTCCTAGGATCAAAAAGAATCTAAAATATATCTATTCTAAATTGATTTTCCTTGAACTCGCTGAACGCTTGTTTCATCGGTCATTTTCCGCATCTTTGTATAGGATTTCAGCCGCTTTAACTCCATGCCTCCCATAGCTTTATTAAAGTGATGTAGTCACAGGCCTTTGGCAGATCGACAAATAACACGCCGCTCTGGCTCCAGTTATCAGCAATTTTAATCGCGTGAAACCAAATGAAGCAACAATGAAATTCTTCGCATATTTTGTTGGAACTGAGGCAAATTTATCCTGTAATTAACAGCTGCTGCCTGGTGGTCGATGGCGTCGCACTTTGCCGCTCAGGACTATTTGGCCCGTTTGCAAGCGACAGGGCTGAATTTTCCAATGGGTGCCCCAGCCGACCCATATGCTGCCATCGGGCTTCCATCCATGGCGTCCTTGCAGCCCCACAAGACGAAGGGCGCCGCTTCCAAGTCGATTTCGCGCTCCAGTTCGGGCGGAAGTAGCAAAGACAAAATGTCCTCACCACCCGGTACATCTGCAGGGACCAAGATGGACCATCACAACTCCAAAATGAAGTACGTGCGACCGCCAATGGCCAGTCGAATCGTTTTATCTCAATTGTGTTATTGTTTTAGCAAGCCATCGAACAACTTGAAATACTCATCTTCCACTGGTCTGACCATTCAGCCGAGCCTCAAGATGTCAGCTAGTGCGAACTCTGCTGGTAGTGAGCGTAGTAGAAAATCGAGCAGCGGTAGTGATTTAAGTTACTTGAATAAACTGGACGGTAAACAGAAGAACAGTGGTTCGGCGAGCGCGAAATCTTCTCTGGATGTGCCCACCAGCATTTACTCGAGCACGATGAATATGAGTAGTGGGCAGGACAAAAGTGGCGCTTCCTCGGGTTTAAGTAATGCTAATATGCAAAATTCCGTCAATAGTGCTGGTGTTACGGGATTACCTGCCAGTATTTTAAGGTGAGTTAACTGTAAGGTGAACTGAATCAGGCAATTCCTGCTCCTCTTGTACGTCCCAACATCCCACCAGATTCAGTGCAATAGATTCCTCAAAAAAAATTAATCAGTATCATGAGATGAGGATTTAATAAACACTCTAAGTTCACTTGGCAATATCAACAGGTTGTTGCTGCTCGTGTATTTGCAGTGTTTAAGTTTTCACTTACATTTTGCTGAGCTTTGTGCGTAGGCAGCGATCCCTTTTAGCTATGAATGTTGTAATTGGTTTAAACATCTTTATAGTTTCTGTTGTTGTCATCATTCACAAATCTTATCTTATCACAGCACAAAACATTGGGAATCGTTGTGTAGAAATAGGCATGAATCGATGATTAGGACCTGATTTACATGTTAGATATCTAATTTTAATTCAGTTAGCATCTGCGATGCAGTGTGGTGAACTACTTTACTATATTGTCAAGCATTTAGGTACAACAATTGATCGTTTAAATGTTCAATCGCTTCCCTTACGTAGTCAAGTCTTTTGTTTCGTATGATGTGGAGTAAAAAGCGATATTTATTAACCAAACATTTTTTTCCATCCAGTGCTGCATTGGAGGGAAGCAGGTAAGGCGGGGTGTTTTTATTTGTTTTAATTGTAGATTGTTATACTTTTCCATTAATGAATCCCCGATTGAATTAGACAGCTTCACTTTAGTTCAGTATTTCTATAGAGTTTGTTGAGTTTTGTTTATTGGAAATCTAGTTAAGCAGGCAATATAGTAGAGTATAGTAAACTGGTTTTTGCAACAATCATGCTCTTTGGCTTCAAACCGTCCTTTCCACATGCTGGTTTTCCTTGACTTGCGGTGTCTGGTTGAAATTTGACCAGACGTTACCATTAGTAGCTGTTGTAGTATGACTTGTAGAAAAGGGGCTTTTGCGGCCGTTGCGTGAAATTGATGCGTTTTTTGCACTTTGAGGCCGCTGTGAAAATTAAGTTCTTCTCCAGACCGACCTGAAGGCGCGAAAAACTCATCAGTCTCAATACTAGGAAAAATTACTAAAGTTCTCCATTAAAGGCGTGTTTTTAACAGTATTTTGCACAAATACTTTCAATATAAATCGCAATAAACTAGTACTTTTCCGTAGGATAGTTGCCTGGGTTATTCATACGGTTTGTGCATGTTTTACAGTGATCCTAATTCAATTTTGGGCGGTGTTAGGTTGCCCCCCGACACCGAGATCATCAAATACACATCGTCCATTGTGGGCCCCAAAGTTCCAGGCACAACCAATCGAGGCCGCAAGAAGACGATATCACTTGATCCTCCTTCGGTGAGCCTGTTGCCTTCTGCTAATAGCCACATGTACATGGAGCGAGCTAAACGAATGAAGTTGAGCGTAAGTGCTAGGCCGCTAGCGTTTTCTGTTAGCGTTTTTGGTAACATGACCTGTTTCCAAACAGGATCAAGAAGTCACGTCGCCCGATGCATCTACTTCCGATAGAGTTGAGGTGATCAAGTTGCCCGCAACAAATGGAAGTCCTTCCGGCATTTTGCCCTATTCTGATGCGTCGGGAGAAGCTCCTCTCAACCTTTCGTTGAAACCAAGCTGGGCAACAACTGGCAGTAGCTCGTCGCTGAACTCCCTTAGCAACATGAGCGCTAATATTGGATCTGATCGGATTTGTGAGCAAACAACCGTTTTCGGTTGAGGAAGCAATGTTGAGCTTTTTCCTAATCGCAGCTCGTCGGAAGCCGGGCCCCAAACCACGCAGGGTGATTCCTGCCGAGGCAACGCCTCCTCCAACCACTCCTCCTAGTACAATTGTTTCTGCTTATCTTGGGTCTGAATCGCCTCGACCTTCTAGCCGAAATGAAGGTTCTGACGGCGGCAGCTCAACATCATCCACATCAGCTACGGCTTTCTCCGGAAGCAGTACACCCGGCACGATGCTCAATCACAAAGAGGGCAGGCCCAGGAACTTGGGACGAGGCGTCAGCAAGCCGAAGAAAAATACTGTAGCCTCCTTGCTGGCTCAAAGTAGAGCTTTGGGTGAGCGTTAAAAACACTACGTGATTGTTTGCTGAATAATTTCGATAAACTTTGCCTCAGGTATCAAGCCAGTTCCCATCCTGGATCCGAACATGTCAACGAATCAACAAATGAGCCTATTGAGGTCGAAGGTTTGGGCTGCTGAACAGTATATTGCGGAGACAGGCGGCGATGATAAGGCTATGATTAAGAACCTGCAGGATAGAGGCAGGGTAGCGCTTAGCGACGGCAGTACGGCCGATGCGTCTGATTCTGATAATCTAACTGATTCTAATCGTACTGATTCAGATACTGAGTCGGAGGCACCGGTTGCCAGCAAGAAACAGAAGCAGTACGACGAGCGCTTGTTAAGAGTCCCTCTAGAAAAAGGTGCGTAGTCGCTATATTGAACGGCTTGAAAGTCTGAACAAGTCGATATTCTTAGGATGGCGGCGAGAGACAATTCTCAGAGGAGTTACCAAAAGCGGTAGCATTAAAGGCGACGTCACTTACACAGCCCCGTCGTCTTCCAATAAATTTAAACAGATGTCAGACATAACACAGGTATTCTCTTCTATCTGGATACTTAATCTGTACTAATAATGCTCTCATTTCAGTACTTAGAATACCAAAAAAACGCGGACTTAACCAAGGATAACTTTACGTTCAGCTGTCGTGTGATCATCGGTGATTATTTGCAGCCGCTTCCTCCGGAAATACAAACCGAAGGCAACGATCTGATTTATTTAACCGAAGAAGATGTGAAAAATAGGTAAATTGTGGGCGGGACATTTCTGCTAAGGGATCTTTACAATTAAGTAGTGATTTCAGATTAGATGAGCTTGGAGCTGCTATGCGAATCAATTTGCCAGTGGAGCAGCGAATCGAATTGGCCCGGAGGCAGCAAGCGGCTCGAGCTGCCGCCAGGCAGGAGAGGGAGCTACAGAAATTGACGAAAGAGTTGGAAAAAAATGAACGACAAGAAGCCGTCCGAAGAGAGAGGGAAGCCAGGTCTCAGCAGATGATGGAGGTATGTCCTTTAATGACATACAAGAGACAGGTTAGAAGAAGGTTACATCTTAATTATTGTCGATGTTTTAGTCGTCTGCAGGCTTAATGGATGGCAATTTTGTAATGTTATGATTTCTTATTGGAGACCGTCTCAATTGTACCGTTTGATTGCTGCCAATTTGCTCTTTACGTCTTCCCATACCTTGAATATTGAACGTTTTTTATCCACTCGCTCTGTATTACTCGTTTTAAATCTGTTACTTAAACATTTTCTTGCATGACAGGCAAAGCGGAAACGGCAAGAGGAGGCTGAAAAACAGAAACTAGAAGACCATCAAAGGAAACAGCAGGTAGGCGCGCTGAGTGATGGGCTTCCGAAATTGCTTGGATTCAGTTTCTCATCTTATGTCCGGCACTCACGATACAATACAACATCGCAGCCCGATTTTTTTCTCGGATGGGGGCACACTCGTAACGATTTTGCAGTACGATATTTACTTTCAATCGATGAACATGTCGGACGAAAATACACTGTTAGCGGTCTAATCAAAAACGGGTTATTTAAAAGACGAACATTTACTAGAAGAATTAAGATTGTAATCAGACGATGGGAGAAACACCTCCGAAAAAATTCGTATCGAAAAAACCACGTCCCCAAGACAGATAACAACTGAAAATACTATAACGGAGATTTACGGCACCAGATTTGCTGGAATGTTGAACTAATTTTAATTCTCTCGATAAGAAAATGTATCGCTGTAAGCCATTTTCAAAATTAACATGTTATTTAGTCCGGAAATCGTGCCTAAAAACACACGGTCCGATAATCAGTCCAACCAACTTTGCAGTACTGCAGCAGACTGCAGGTTTGTCTGCAACTTGACCGAAGCGCCGAAACACACTTCAAATTAGACTGCGATTTTCGTTGTATCGTGAGTGCCAGGTTTTACGTTTTCCTCCTTCTTCGCCTCGGGTTTTGTTAAGCAACATCTCATTTTTTTTAATTCTTTAGTGGTTTTACATTTGCAAAGCTTGGCTAGTGTTAGACTAAATTCTGCGCAATTTACTATTTAAGTCTAAAGCATTTTTTCTTGCAGGAGAGAGAAATTAAAAGACAACAAACCGCCATGCTAAAGGAGCAAGTGAGTATTATTAAGGCGTATACGAGTTTTTAGTTGTGTGTGAAAATTAGGCGAAATGATTGGCATGATTTTAGATTAGCATATCACGTGTGCCGTGTTAAGTGATACTAGATTTCTTACTTTGAGAAGTTGGTTACTTCAACTTATGCAGACGAGCGCAAGACACGCCAAGCGGATCATATAAATACACGATTACAGTTCCTTCATAATTATTTTCTAAGAATAAGCATTGGTCTCAAGTGGAGGGTTGAGGAAAATGGGTTCTTCTGGCGCAATTTTCGTTTCGTAGATTTACGCACATTCATAGCAAGCGGTTGGTCGTTTAAGAACCCATTTTTTTAAATCTTGTACTCAATATATCGATGTTAATTGTTCGTTTCGCTTTTTGTTCCATTTCCATGTGACAATATTTTTGCTAGTGTTTGTGCATATTTATCTTTCATAGCTATTTGTAAATACTGTCACGCAATTTTTTCTCTTCCTAGATCTACATACAGGAGATCAATAAACAACGAGAAATGCTCTACACTGTCGAGCTGGTATGGACAATTTCTATGAGTGTTATTCTCCTTATTTCTATTTTGCTTATCCACGTTGAGGAGTAACACTGATTCTATCGCATCTTACTATTATTTGCTCAGAGTCTTTGTTTTATTGCGTAACGGTGCTGGTGTGGCTAATTGTCTCTCTATTTAGTTGCGGTTCCAGCTGTTTAGTAACATATTAACATCTTTCGGATCGCAGTTAAAAGCACAGCTTGTTCCACATAAGGAGAAGCTTTCTTAAAAGCAAATATAATCAACTTCAAATGAATGAATGAATGATCAAAGTTGTCCTTTAGCTGATATTCGTCTGGAATTAATCAAGTAGCTTTTTGGTAATTGTTAATAGCATGTTTTAAAATCTGCTTTGAAATAGTTCACTGCCTCAAAGTAACAACCATTTTGTAATAGGAGAAGGAACGCAGAAGGCAACACCTTGCTCTGATCAAGTCTATGGAAAACCGACGAAAGATGGAGGAGAAAGAGCGCCGAAAACAGCAATTGCTAGCGGAAAAGCAGGCGAATAAAGAGAAAAAACTGGAGCAGAGGAAAATGGATCTGGAAATTCTAACAGAGTTACGAAAACCCTGCGAAGATCTCGAACTAATGAACCAAAAGCAGCTGCCCGACTTTGAACGTATTTCCGGCCTAAAGTTGCCTGGGGAGGCTTTCGCTAACACTCTGATGGTTTTTGAGTTTTTACATAATTTCGGTGAAACTTTGGGCTTCGACATGGAATCGTTACCCACATTGGAGTCTTTGCAACAGGCGCTAATGTCGAACGAACATTATTACGAAGCAGAAGAGGAATTGTTTTCAGTAATGACTCATCTACTAGTTTGTGCCATCGAGGATCCGGGCATTCCAAATCCGGCAAGACATACCACTATTCTGGGACAAAGCCTAAGACAAGCGGATATCACTCCCTCTAATCTATCAGAGATTCTTCGCATTTACTTGTACGCCAATGCAACAGGCGAAGTCAAGGCGCTTACAGGCGTACATTTTGAAAGAGACCGTGAAAAACGTATCGCGGATCACCATCAAACTGAGGAGGAAATGCAGCAGACTGTGGCTGGTAAAAATAGTCATTATTACGAACTTCTGCATGAAAACTCTACGTACAAAATGTCGGACCTGCTAAGAGAAAAGCCCTTCATGGCTTTATCTCCAACAGACAAAGCGTCAATATTGGCGTTCATCTGCAACGAACTTTTGCAGAATAAAGCGGTACTCAGGCAAATTGATAGTTCAATGTCCACGATGATAGAAAACAAGAGAGATAAGTGGTTGCTGGATCAAAAAATTCGAAAGTTGAAGGTGCTACATAATAGAAAAGTGAAAACTGAGGCGATGGAACGATCTCATAACGAAGACGGCACAGTGGATTCGCCGCATATTCTTCACAAAGACGAGCTCCTTGATGAAGAGGACCATGAAATGAGCGACAACGAAAGTGTAGGCACACAACCAGAGGAAGAAGAAGATGCGAAACTATCCGGCGAAGAACTGGCGAAAAAACTGGAAAAGTTAATACAAACCTCGGAAAACCATCTAGCGTCCAGCAATCAGGCATTATCGCAACTTCGGGCAGTAACTTTTGGAGAAGATCGCTTCTTCCGGAGGTATTGGTCTTTTCCGAAAGCCGGTGGAATATTCATAGAAGCCATGGAATCTGCAGAACCAGAAGAGTTTGAAGAACAACTGATAGGCGACCACAAAGAGACCATCAACAATGGAATCAAGAGCCTGAACGAACTCCACAGCGTCATCGAAAATGTGGATAAAATCAACGACCACGCTATCGACAAGGAAGTGAGCAGCATTGTGGAAAACCAAAATATCAAGGAGGAAGATGTTAATAAAGACAACGAAAATGAGCACCGAAAGACACCCAACCGACTAAGTACCATGGAAAACGGAGACATTTACGAGCCAAATCTAGAACAATTAAAGCAGAGTGTTGAGCACCTGGTACAAACTATGGAGCAAGCCGTTGACAAGGAAAAGGAAGAACCGGCTAAAGAATCTCAAGATGAGCCAGAAGGAAAACGTGGCAAGCTGGAAAGTTACAGCAGTGACTCTATATCAAACAGAAAATTCAACCTCTTTGAGCGATTGGGGCAGTGCATGGAGCGCGAGAATAAAACTGAAGAAGATCTGAAGGCCGAGGTCAAAGCCGAAGTGAAGGAAGAATTGAAGAATGAGATCTTAAAAGAGTTGAAGCAAGAAAGGAAAATTGAGCACATCAAAACGGAGTACGATGAAAACGATGAGGTCAAATGGTTCAGCATACTACATAAAGATGGTTCGACTTGTGGAGAGGTGCATCCCGCCTCGGCCAATTCTAAAGAACCGAACGATGGAAAAGTTCCAATTTTTCCGCCGCCCGGTTCCAACACCAGCAATTATCATCACAACTGCGAAAGTCCAGCTCCGCTCCAAATGACCTCCGATGAAAGCGCTCAACTGGAGCACATAAAGAAGCACGGCAAACCTTCAATGCCCGGCAAAAAGTCCGTTTCGAACGAAAAGCGGTTTGGTTGGTGGCGGATGAAAAGCTTGGAGCAACTCAGGGAGCTGTTGGATAACTTGCATCTTCGAGGTGTGCGAGAACGGGAGCTGAAGCGAAGTTTCCTGCTCACCATGCAGCAAATGTACAACAAAGGAAAGCTCGTAATTGAGGAGGGACACCCGGAGTTGACAAGTTTAGTTGGAGAGAATATCGAAGGGGTTTGCATGGTGGAGGAAGGAGCCCCAATGCCTTATGAGGCTGGCTGGTGGAGCAAGGCCGTAGCGCATCGAGTAGATATGGTTTTACATGAGCAGGTAAGTTGTGGTGGGAAGCATAGTTGAGCATGAAAAAGCAGTGATTTTTCTTTTAATCTCAGGTGGAAGCTTTGGAAGATAAAGTGGCTAGCGCCAGCATGCAGGTCAAGGGTTGGAAAGTGCCTGAGAGGGACGACTCCGAAATCCCCTATGGAGAAGTGGTTGGCATAGTGAAGCAAAAACTCGCCTCCTTGGAGCAGAACATCGAGCGAAGATATTTAAAACCGCCGCTTGGCATCAAGTATGCAATCAATCATTTTGGCAAACAACAGGATATTTTACGCGTTATTTCCAGCGCAAATATGCGGTCAAGCACCGGCAGCACTCAGGAATCACCTCACCCGCCCACTCCAGAAACCTCATCAGCAGCCCAACCAATCGCGTCACAGTCCACTCCAAGTACAGGCGACGACATCCCGAAGGGCCTGGTTACTTGGAGGGAGGCCATCAATCGTGCGGCCACTTCTTCCCAGCTCGCCATGTGTCTTTATTCGCTGGAATCGTCCATCGCTTGGGACAAAAGCATCATGAAAGCTGTGAGCGAACAGGCTGTATTTAGCGTACAGAACGCCCGCAAATATAACAGCAAGCTCAGTGTGGGTGCTTGTGCCTTTGCCTTTTGTCCTCTTACGCTACTCTACAGAATGCATGCACCTTTCGGCTCCCCGGTTTTCAGCAGCGCTCATCAAAGGATCAATTTAGTTTTCGCTTTGCTTAAATCGGCGGGTTGGAAACCGGGAGCCGGCAAAACTCCACAAGTCTTGCATGATCATGCACCTGCAACTGGTTCAATAGAATCTCGATTATTATCACCATTAACACAACATTGTTCATCATCCACTAATGGGCGGTTTTCATTCTGCAACATCCTGATAATTTCACTTCATTCTATTGGAATTTTGTTGGATATGAAGCTAGATTTCTCTAATTTACCTTTGCAGTGAAGTTGCTTGGTCTGTTCATAACGTGCCTAGAAAACTGTGTTATTTATATCATTTGTGGTGTGGTGTTAGTTTCACTGTACATAAAAGGGCGTCTTTTGTAGAGTAGTGTAACTATTAAAACTTAAGGGATTAGTTGAACGGGCTTGTGACGCTTCTAAGATAGGGTGATACACACTTGTGTTGGAAAATTCGAATGTTTTTCGGGCCTTTGAGCCGTTGTGGATAAGAAATTCCCTCTCCATGGGAGATGGCCTGGAAGCCCGAAAAACTGGCCAATTTATGCAAAAAGCACCTTTCTCACTTGAGCCCTTTCAACGTGTATTATTCATACAATGTTTTTAATTGTTTTAAATATTTCCAGAATTGCCAATTTTGCCAAAGCGGAGATAATGAGGATAAGTTGCTGTTGTGCGATAGTTGTGACAGGGGATACCACACCTACTGTTTCAAACCTAAAATGGACAACATTCCTGAAGGCGATTGGTGAGTAAAGTTGTAAACGCTTTCAATTTAATAATTAGTTTGGTTGTGTTATTGCAGGTATTGTCACGAGTGTATGAACAAAGCAACTGGGGAACGGAATTGCATCGTTTGCGGCCGAAAAGTGTCACTAACAAGCACAAGATTGGTGGCTTGCGAGCTTTGCCCCCGGGCTTATCACACCGACTGTATCCAGCCGCAGATTAATAAGGTTCCGCGCGGCAAATGGTACTGCAGTAACTGCATTTCGAAGAAACCTCCGAAGAAGGCCGTTAAACGCAATAAAAGTACTCCGAGGGAGAGCGAGTCTTCCGATCAACCACCTGCTAGGTGATTATTACAGCGTTTCAAATTGTCTTTGCTTAAAACTGTGTTTTTTAGAATAGTTACAGTTGGTAAAAATTGACTAATTCACACTAATATTTAAAAAAGAATGATTTTTTCCGCGAATAGGACGGCGGAAAGGTTGAAATGAACAAGCTGATTGTGCTAACTGTGCCTTAAAAGTAGCCTTTTTCTCTTCTAGTCCCACTCCTTCGCATAGCTCAGTAACAACTAACGAAGATCAACCGACAACGAATTGCAGTCAAGAAAGTGATGTATCTTTAATTTCGAATGCCAGTGTGCCCATTGTGAATGTGTCCGTTGAAAATTCGCCATCGGCAATCGCGGCGAAAAAAGAGAAGGAAAAAGAGAAGGCCCAAAAAAAATTGATAAAAGAACTGGCGCCCTGTAAAAAAATTCTCGATGATCTCGAAAGTCATGAAGACGCGTGGCCGTTTCTCTTGCCAGTGAACACGAAACAATTCCCTACTTATAAGAAAATCATTAAAATACCCATGGATCTGTCTACTATTAAGAAGCGATTGCAGGACTTGACGTAAGTGGTTTTCCAGCCGTTGATAAAATATGCCTGAAACATTCTGCATTGTTTCAGCTACAAGTCGAGGGACGAATTTTGCGCAGATGTCCGGCAAATCTTCAACAACTGCGAAACCTTTAACGAAGACGACAGTCCGGTTGGTAAGGCAGGTCATTGTATGCGTCAATTTTTCGAGACACGATGGACCGATCTATGCTCTAATCATAGTTGAGAACTGTTAAATATGTACAACTTGTCTAGGTTTTAAGGCGTATGCATAATACAGAAGAAACTATCAATCGCAAGGTTTGGAACCACCTCGAAAAGCCTGCTAAACTCAAGTCATGCCTACCTCAAGAGGTCATGTATGTGTAACGTTGTAAATGAAGATACTGTTTTCTGAAAAGCCAATTTAAAAATAACAGTTTAGACGATATGGGAAACAATAATTTCGGCTCCTTTTACATGTGCATTCGCTTCGTAATGCTGTTTCATTTGTTTTGATATTTTTTCATTTAAATGTGTTGACCTCAAAGGGAACCTGTTCCTGGTTTAAACTGTACAATTTGTAAATACTAATAATTTCCTAGATTTATAGCTGCTGTTCTGCCAAGTAGTGTTTAGACAAAAACATGAATTTCCCAAAAATGCAAGCATATCTTCATTTACAAAGCCAATGAAGTTATATTGTACATTGTTGTGGTGCTTGTTTAGTAAAACATAATATTCGAAAAGTAATCGATTTGAAGCACTAGTTAAATAATAACTACAGAGTGATCACGAATTCAAATTAAATTACATATTTTAAATTGTTTTAAAGTGAGACCATTTTGGTTTTTGTTATTTTGTTGCCTGTCTTGACTGAAATGTGGTATCTGCGTTTAATGGTTGGCAGGCCACAAAATGACTACAGCGTTTGTGATTTGTTAAACGCGTGTGATTTTTAATTAAATTAGGAAATTGAGAATATTTATTTGATCCAGTGTCTGATAATTAATTTTTGCATCGTTCATTTGATCGCTCTGTAAAGAACCGCGTCGAGAAAATGTAAGCAATAATTTTGTGGTTCTGGAAACTTTTTGACTACAAACTGGATTATGGCAAATATTGAAACTCGAGCGGTCTCACCAGGCAGGTAATTCGGTTGCGTGATACGATTTAATATTGCTTCCTTTCTTTCATGAACAAATGGACATTTTTGCAAAAAGTACATCACTTAAAAATAGACTTAATTACGTGCTAGTTTGTGATTTAATTTTTATTAAAGCGACTTGTATTTTTGATATTTTCTGTTTTAAATGTCTTATTTATTTAGATTCAGGTTTGCTTGTGTTGAGTCAAATGTTACTTTCTGCAGCATAGGTTTGCTCTATTACATTTATCAGTATGGTTATGATAAGTGAAGGAAACGTTCGGAGCGCTCTCTTGGTTTTATCCAAATTAATAAATCACAATTTTACCAACTATCAGCATTTAAAATTTTCGATATGCTGCTTATAATTGTACAAATTATATTTAATTAAATTAGCCATTGTTTGCCAGTATAAAACAACATATGTTTATTGTAAATAAATTAAGTCATTCATTGGCTGAAATCTAATGTTCTCACCAAAACTCATTCTTGAAGAAATCAGCTCTACGAACGTTTTGACTTGCAATCAATTCATTGATTGCGTGTATTATAAAATGTATAGAACGCGCACTATCGCTCAATTTCCAAAACTATCCAACATCCTTGTGTACGCTGCTGATAAGTCATTTGTATAAGCTGAAATAATAATTATGCAGAATGTTTAAAATCTTAATGAATGTGTTTTTTTGGTAGGCTAGTTCTGTGCAAAGTAAACTTTGCTCACTTAGGACTAGAACTTATGTATTTGAGTGTAAGATATTTATATTAATTATATTTACTTATAAATGTATGATTTTGTTGTAATTATTTTTACATACTTACTTTCGATAGTTAGTGGTAGATTAATTTAGCAAGATTCTGAGCTTCAATCTCGTATCTGGACGAAATTGTCCTGTATTCTGCGAATGAAATCAGCAATAAAAGGGGCTGAAGATTTGGAAAGGTCCAAATAAATGAAATTGGTCCAGGCGATTTAAAATGTATTTCAAGCGAACTCATGTAAGCATTCAAGCCCAATATTCCTAACCAGGTGGCCACTGCATTTGCCTGCCAGACAGGACATGAACGTGCAAATGGTACACCGACTGGGCCCCAACAGAGCCATCGTTAATAACGATTCGAAATCCCTTGTCCAGCTTTCGAGTTGCGGCGATTTTCTTGGCAACAATCAGTAAGTGACCAAGAAGACCCTCGTCTGAATCGCCGGCTTTTGAAAGCTGGGCGATCGGCTTTCTGGGGATGACTAGAAAGTGAACAGGAGCCTGGGGGTTCACGTCATCGAACGCAACACACTACAAACACAATTCTAAGGGTTGTAACTTGGAAGTAGGCGGCCAGTTACCTGGTCGTCTTCGTAGATGAACGTGCAGGGAATTTCCTTTCGCAGGATTTTGCCAAAAATCGTATTTTCCCCAGCGTGGGCCTCCTGGGCCAGTTTCACTTCATCGGACATTGTTTGCGAAAGTTGAGCTGCTGAGCAGCACTCCACAGGATAAGGATCAGAACCTGTCTATATCTATGGATCAGAATAAAAGGGGCTATTTGCAGAGACAAGTACTTCTCTGCTATTTGGTTAATTTTACCCGGCAGGAGCCACAGAACATAGGGGGGATATTTTGTGGCAGGAGCTTTCACTTTTGACTTTGACGTTAGCACTATCTGAGGGAAAATAACCACAATTTTTTACCGATTTTGTTCAGCGGGAGATTTAAACTGGTTTTTTAATTTCCAGCTTCAGCGATCAATAAGTCGATTCCTTCAACAAACGGTGGCAATTCGAGACGTTGTTGCAGAGCCTTCCAGAATAAAAAATCTTTCTTGGAGGTAGGTAGTTCACTTTCAAAGTTGGCCGCTGTATAGCCACCTTTAAATCTTTGAAGACACACTCAATTCTGTTCCAAACCACCCAATTTTGTGTCAGCCGTAAATTGTCCTTGAAAGTATGAGACAACATGCAATGAAAAACCTGTAGCCTTTATTTTACAACTAGTCCGGCCAAGCATAAATACAATTTAGAGATTATCCGCAAACGTTGCTTACAAAGAACAAAAACTGAATAGATTGAACGCTTGCTCCCCTAGTGTCCATACTTCTGGAACTCCCATTCTCTGTTGTCCAAAGGACACACTTGTCGAGTCTTAAGCCACCTGGAGATGCAGTGAAAGTGGAAGGCATGATTGCAGACGCCCCATGCCACAGTGCATTCTTCGCTCGTTGCTGATGCTTGATTTGCCTGACACTCGATGCACAAATCCATTATGTGATTCCGGCAAATGGCACAATTGTCCACCACAATGTCCCAAGCCCACAGGGCCACTGCATTCCATTTTTTGACCTCAAATCGCTTCTTCTCGCCCTTAGAACTGCTGGATGTTGGTACCTCCATTTCGTCCATATCCACATCCATTGCGGCTGCCATTGACTGCGATTGACCAGTTTTCTTGATCGGTGATCTTGATCTAACAAAATTTTAGTAATTTGAATGGTTTGAGAAAAAATTTGGATGACACTGTCAGAATAGCAAAACAAAGAAAATGGAGGTGAAATTCGCTCGCATCTAGTGGTAGACCTGATATTTGAATTTGCGAGGATCTTGGCAGCTCTGGCCCCGGTGAATGGCGCGCAGTTTGAACCGTCAGCTTAGTTTGGGGAGTGTTGCCGCAACTTCAGACGGTAAAAACTCTGACCAATACTATTTAGGAAACATCATGCTTTTTTTTAAATAATGTGGTGTTCAATTTGTTCGCGATAAACACTTCACGGCGCTAAATGTAAATATTCAAACTGCGCGCCATTCACCGGGCCTAGATGCTCGTATATCCAAGTATCTGGGCTACCACTAGACGCGGGTCTAACATCCGGCTATCTTTGTCCAGACACCTTATTACGACAAAGACGGAGTACTTTCAAAATCTGGCTTTTGTTTTGTTACTCGCCAAAATATCAATCAGTAAAATAATTTTTTAGGTTATAACTATTTTAATCTGGCATTTTCACTTAGCGCTGTCAGTAGAAGGCCTGAATTATCTCTCAAAGTTCGGGAAATTCATATTTTTAGTGCACTATGCGGTTTGGCGTAGGTTTTTTCAACTGGTTCCTCCCTCCAAAAGTGTATGTCAAAAATTGGCGCGGATCTACCGGGTCAATAATGCTGATAAACGGCCACATTCTGTTCCTAGTTGTTCCTTGAGTCGTACAGTTCTAATTTCAAGTCAGCCCCATTCTCCAAGCACCAACATGACTGAAGAAAGCACCAAAATGTCCACTGAAAACCTCGCAATGTGCACTGAAAGTGCCAACAGGTCTAATGAAGGAAAAGATCGCCTTGTTCTGAAGTACATTAAAGCAGAACCGGGTGCCTTCGCCCCCACTAGAGCGACTCCAAGATCAGCAGGGTATGATCTGAAAAGCGCCGTAGACACTTTCGTTATGGCCGAGGGCAAATCCATTGTTACAACGGGGCTCAAAATCGAACTGCCCGACGGATGTTATGGGCGCATCGCCCCCAGATCTGGCCTGGCTATGAATAATTTTATTAACGTTGCAGGTAAGACTTTGATAGCGATTAGCAGCTTTATTGGGGCTTACTGGGGCTCAAGTTGATTGGGACACACAGTCCCAACTGTACATTAATCCTCATAAGCCAAAATTGATATCGTAACTCCCTCTTTCAGCCGGAGTGATAGATCAAGACTACAGGGGAATCGTCAAAGTTATACTCTTCAATCATTCCCATTTAGACTTTCACATCAAGAAAGGAGACCGTATTGCTCAGCTGATTTGCGAACGGATCTATTATCCCGATATCGAAGAAGTTCAGGTATGTATAATGCTAAAGGCGTGTATTTCCTTGCCATTATCAGTGGAAGAATCCTCTCTCATTTTCGTTCAAGAGCGTATCGTTCAGTATTCAAAGTATTTAGGCATCTAAACAAATATTTACTGCAAATATCTATGAACATTTGGAAAAAAGTAGAATTTATGGTTGGTATTCGGCAAGCAATTTCTTCTGTTGGTTAAAGTTTGCTTGTGTCTTGTAAAGTCCGGAATAAATATTCTTTGGATTGTTCGATTCATTAAATCTTTAAAGTCAAGGGGGGGTTATGTAGAAAAAATGCAGTCTTCTGTTATCTATGAAATTAGAAAAATGATCGTCCTTTTGTGCAAGGGTGGCGCAAGATTATTGCAAAATTTCATGTTTTCCGTCCCGTTTTGCATGTTTCTCGGAAGCAAAATGAGCAAGAACGCTCGT